GTATCATCTGAGGTAGACTGCCCCTGAATATTGGAGTGCTATTTAGCTATGCAAGTAGTCCTTGACTTACAACCTTCAGTTATTGACCATTCAAAGTTATAATGGTATTGGAAAAAGTGACATGACCATTTTTCACATTTACGACTGCTACACCATCTGACTCATATTTATATCAATTGCAGTGTCATGTGACATGACATGATAGGGGAGACATGATAGCAGTCTTCCAATATTTGAGGGGCTGCCACAGAGAGGAAGGGGCCCAGCTATATCACAACAATACACTACCTGGCTCTGTTGTTACATCCTCTAACCCCACTCCTTTAACCTCAAACTATCCACTATTGACCTCACCCCATTCCTAAGAGGTCTGTAAGGAGCGTGCATAAGTGCACCATCGTGCCTACCGTCCCTGTCCTATTGTCCCCATTTATTCGTACCTATTTCCTATAATCTTACTCATGTTTATACTTATACCTCTTATCTTGTAAGCAATTGACAAATCAAATAAATAAAAATCAATTTTTTTTTTTTTAAGGAGAAATTTTCTGACAGTGAGAATAATCAACCCATGGAACAGAAATTGCCCTCAGAAGTTGTGGGAGCTTCATCACTTGAGACTTTCAAGAAGAGATTGGACTGCCATTTGTCAGAAATGGTGTAGGGTCTCCTGCTTGGGTGGGGGGATGGACTAGATGACCTATAAGGTCCTTTCCAACTCTGATTATCTGTGATCAACTTCTGTGATCTTCTGACAAGCAAAGTCAATGGAGAAGCCAGACTCACTTAACAACTTGCTACCAATTTAACAACTGCAGTGATTCGCTTAACAACTGTGGCAGGAAAGGTCGTAAAATGGCCAACATTCACTAACAATGTTTTTTTTTTAGCAACAGAAATTTTGGGCTCAAGTGTAGTCCTAAGTTAAGGACTTCCTGTACTGTTGGATCTATGAAAGGGAGGCATCTTCTTCTTTATGGACCCTCAAGCTGCTCTGAGATTGGAAAAACAGGGTGGGCGGGATATTGACTGAGTGATGCACTATTTTTCAACCTTGGCAGCTTGAAGACATGTGGACTTCAACCTCACCATGGCTGGGGAATTCTGGGAGATGAAGTCCACTATCTTAAAGTTGTCAAAGTTGAAGAACAGTCACCCAATGAGATTCCATGGTGGATGGGATCTTGAACCTGAATCTTCTGGGTCTCAGCCAGAGGTGGTATTCAGCAGGTTCTGAGCAGTTCTGGAGAACCGGTAGTGGAAATTTTGAGTAGTTTGGAATACCACCTTTGACTGGCCCTGCCCCCATCCATTCTCTGCCTCCCATTGAGTCCCAGCTGATCGGCTGGGTCTTCTTTTGTTGCCCTGCCCAGGAGAACTAGAGAGCAGGTTAGAGGCGTGGGGAGGGAATGGAGATTTTGCAGAATCCTTCCCCTGCCACGCCCACCAAGCCATGCCCACCAAGCCACACCCAGAGAACCGGTAGTAAAACTATTTGAATCCCACCTTCCCCTGCCACACCCACCAACTCTCATTCCTCTACACTAAACTGGTTAAATGAAAAAACTCTCACCACACCTTGCTCTATGGGAATCTAGGTATTACCTTGGTTTTCTTTTTCAATAAGCTCATCATATTATGGCATGATGTAGTTTATTTGCTTGGACAGATTACATAAAATCCTTTTTAAGCCTAGGTTTATGTATTATGAGTTTATGTATTATGAGAACTGTATTATGAGTTTGTATCCAATGTCTGTGGGGGGCTACAGTACCCTTAATCAGTTCAGACAAAGCCCCTGCAAATGCATTTCCATACTAAACTAATCATCTATCTCTCAGCCCAACCTGCTTCACAGGGTTGCTGTTCTGGGATAATAAGAGGAGGAAGGTGTGTTGGATATGATAGATGATAGGTAGGTAGGTTGGTAGATACATAGATATGGATGGACGGATAGACAGACAGACAGAAAGACAGATAGACAGGTAGATGAATTTTACCAATATAATTGGGATTTTGTCTGGGTTTCCCCAACCATGGATCCCCTAATCCGTTCTTCACCAACCTAATGATGTTGGTGCCTGATATGTTGGACTACAAGTTCAGTACAACTGAAGATGGGTGGTTCAAAATGTGAAATAGAAATATAAATCTCCATGTTGCATTGAGGTAGAGTGCTCTGTCTTCACAGACAGCCATATAATAATCATAAATTGTAGCTGATTTAGAGAAAGGTCCTGCAAAACTCTGCAACTTTTTTAAAATAAAAAAAAGAAAGATGTAGACAGACGCAAGAACCAATAGAGAAAATAGTTGTCTTGACAGCATTGTATTTGCAGGAGTGGTCATTCAGATGCCTTACCTCAGTGTTTCTCAACTTTGTCAACTTTAAGATGTGTGGACCCAGAACCCACCAGCCAGCATGCTCAGGGGTGGGATGTTTTGGTTCGGACCGGTTCTATAGAACCAGTTATTATGACTGTGCGCAGTTCGGAGAACTGGCAAATCATGCCCCTGGCTGGCCCCTCCCCTCCCTGCCCGGTCAGTCCTTTTCGCATACGTCCGACATTGCTGACTGCATTCTCCTCCTCCCATCACTCAAGATATCTTCCCCCCCATCCTGACGATCAGCTGTTCCTATGATCAGCTGTGCCAGGATTCTCTTCACTGTTTTATTGTTTCGCCCAGGAGGCTTCCCTGAGGCCCAGGAGTCAAAAAGGGCCACGTGTGTGTGTATGTGTGTGTGTGTCTGCCCTGCACCCCCTCCGCGCTCCATTTTTTGTCTTCCTGGGCCCCAGAGAAGCCTTCTGGAAGTAAAATGCCCCCCAGGAGGCTTCCCTGAAGCCCAGGAGGCCCAAAACCCGGGGGGGGGGGGTTGCTGCAAAAAAAGAAGCCACACCCACCCAGTCACATAGCCATGCCCACTTAGCCATGCCCAGAGAACCGGTTGTTTAAAAAAACGAATCCCACCCGTCTTACAGGGTCACAAAATGCAGCGAAATGGCTGCTTCAATTGCTCTACAAAACCAAAATCAGACTCCCTCTATGGGGATAGGACAGGAGGCAGTTCCTCTATCAAAACTGCTGGCTACATGCCACCAATTCCCTCGTTTTTTTCCCTCTTTTAAATGCTGCATCCTGAGGAAGTGAATTCCATCCGTTAACACCATCTCTGGATGAAATGGCGCTTCCTGTTCTCCACTCTGGCTCTTCTGCCAAATTGACCTTTCAACAACTCCCAAGTTCAAAACCTGCCTTCCACTAACAAGAGGAGGAGAAAAAAAAATACTTTTTGGTCAACTCCCCTCTTCATAATTTGAAAAATATTTTAAGACTACAGGTAGTCCTTAATATACAGTATATCCTGTCATCTAGCAACCATTTGATGTTCTGATGGACCCCACCAAAAAGAGACTTATGGCCCAGATTAGAACTTCTGCTATCTGAAGTTGCTAGGGAGAAATTGTTAAGACGCTCAGTACCCGGCCTGCATTTATGGCTGTTTGAAACACCCCATAGTCATGTGACTGATTTACAACACTTTTATTTACTTCCAGATTTCAGCAAAAAATGCCAGTGACCAATGGATTCACTTAACGACCATCATGTTAGCTTAATACAAGTAGTCCTTGAATTACAACCACAATTGAACCCAAAATTTCTGTTGCTGAACAAGACAGTTGTTAAGTAGAGTTTTTTGTCCCATTTTATGACCTTTCTTGCCACAGGTGTTGGGTGAATCACCATAATTGTTAAGTTAGTAACAGAGGAATTAAGTGAATCTGGCTTCCGCACTGACTTTGTTTGTCGGGTCACAAAAGACAATAACATGATCCCTGGACACTGCAACTGTCATAAATATGTGTCAGTTGTCAAGCATCCAAAATTTTGATCATGTGACCACAGGGATGCTATACCCCTTTTAAGCAGTGGTGGGATTAAAAAATGTTTTACTACTGGTTCTGTGGGCATGGCTTGGGGGCCTGGGAGGGGAAGGATACCGCAAAATCCCCATTCCCTCCCCACCCCACTAACCTGCTTTCCAGCTCCGTTCTCCTGTGCAGGGCAACAAAAGAAGACCCAGATGATCAGCTGGGACTCAGGAGGCAGAGAATAGATGGGGGCAGGGCCAGTCAGAGGTGGTATTTGCCAGTTCTCCAAACTACTCAAAATTTCCGCTACTGGTTCTCCAGAACTGGTCAGAACCTGCTGAATACCACCTCTGGTTTTAAGTGTGAAAAATGGTCATAAGTCATTTTTTTCAATGCTTTGAACGGTCACTAAACAAACTTTTGTAATTTGAGGACCTCTACTCACTGCAAAAAAGGCATAAAATCAATTGCAGTCACACGATGATGACTTTGCAACTATCACGACTTATGACCAAAATGGCTATTAGTGGGATGGGTCTCAGTAGTGGCAGTCTAGGATGCCCCGCAGCACAGGGTGTAAAATCTGTCATCTTTGATGGTGGAATCAAGGACAGTGGAACAGTGTGGGAATGATTGGAGGAAGGTTGCCTATTTTTGTATAAGGTAGGTTTACAGTGACCAAGCTAGAAATCTTCTAAGGATGACACAAGTCTCTTGAAACTCTAGGTTGTTGGTTTGAGCTCCAAGCTTGGCAATTTGGTTGCAAACGTTTTGTATCATTTGAGAAGACATTGTCAGTGTTTTGAATTGTCAATTGGGCCAACCCCAGCTACTAATATTCAAACGCATTCCTTGAAACTCTTTCCCAAGCAAGAATGTTTGCATTGTCATTGCCATGTGAAAACATATTTATTTGCCCTTATTTCCATGTTTGGAATACCTGTTTTGCTGAGTACCAATGCTCAGTTTTTAGAATTGGCCTGCTCTACTGCTCATCTCTGTACAACGTAGCATTTTTCATTCTTATCATAGGCCACTTCTGCAGATTTTTCCAAGGGCTGCCTAAGCATCATTATCACTATTATTTTTTTTAAAAAAGGAAAGAAAACACCTCTGAACATTTTTGTTCCAGATGATTCACACTTTTTATTTGCTCTGTTCCAGTATATTACAAACAAACAACAGAGAAGTGTGCATGTGTGTGGCGGGGTGTATTTAAGGTAGATCTTCAAACAGTTGGCCATGATGTTTGAAAAGCTTGGGAGAAAGGGGGAAGTGCACTTCTGCGAGCCAAAGAATATGAAAGGAATTAACAGTGGAGAACTGGGCGCACAAAGGTTATCATCACCATGTCATACACATGAGACAGAGACTGGGTTGTGGGGGAGAAAAAGTGGGGAAGGGGGTTTAACTGCACCAGCACCAGAATCTCTGAAGCAGCACCTGATAGCCTCTTCATTCCATGATTCTCCTTCAGTCCCCTTGACAGATGTTCTCAGCTTCAGAGAAATCCAGGTAGGAGTGTTTGCTGCTGTTTGTCTTGGGTCAAACAACCCAGATGAAGATCATTGTTGAGTAGAGGAGGAAAGAAGACATTGCTGATGGAGATTGGTTGCTGGAGATGCTGATGTTCAGGGCCTTCCCAATGGCCCAGCTTGAGATGTTGAGAGCTTTTGAAGACTGCCCCTTGTCCATTACAGAGAAGACTCCCAAGTGATGTCTCCACAAAGTGCCAAAATCTTTATGCCAATAGTGTGCAGGCGGGGTCTTTTGGCTTGTGAGCTGACCGTTGACAACATGATGGGTTGGTTGGAAAGCTGTATGTTTTCAGAAGCCCGTTGAGCAGATGAGGTGACACACCTGGAGAACAGAAGGTCTAAGGACTAGTTTCCAAGTCACAACTACAACAATGGGCTGTTGAGTCCAGAGCCAAAAAAATAATGGCAGCTTGAGCAGAAAGTCTGGAGACAACACACAGTCTTTCCTTGGCTTGGAAGTCATGGGGTTCACCTCTTCCAGCTTTTCATGTCAAATAGGGAAATTTGGCAAGGAGGCATTAATGGATTTCTCTTTCCCTGGAAGAATGGATTCGTATCATAGACCCACCAAATTTGAAGGGATTCCCAGAATCTCTTGAAAGGGGATTTCCTCCACTCCACCGCACAATTCTCGATCTCTCATTTTTAAACACCCTCTTTTGCCACCCATACATTGTATTTATTATGCAGGATAATTCAGTTTTATTGTAACAGAGTAATACACGATAACTTTTTAAGCACAACCAGCCTTGCCCAACCACGGAGATTGGTTGAATCCAGCTTCAAGGAAATTCCAAGGAATTTCTTTACAATTCAATTAGCATAATCATGTCCCTTCATTATAACTACCAATGGAATATTTTTTGAGCTTTTAAATATTATTTTCTTGATCTCCATCCCCAATCTCTCACCCATTTGGAAATGCAAAGGTAGTTTTTTATCCAGAGGGAGAGAGGGAAAAATAGGAATTAAAATAAGGCATAGTCCAGATGTGGATTATTGTCTGGCACTGATCAAATGCAAATGACCAAGCTCTAATGCAGTGTTTCTCAAGCTTGGCAACTTTTAAGATGCATGGACTTCAACTCCCAAAATTCCCCAGCCAGAAATACTGTTCTAAATGACATAGCAGAAGCAGCTCAGTCCCCATCTCTATTTTTTAATTGCCTACATTATCATATGGAGCCCCAACTATATAAGTGAAAATCCATACAAATGTTGTAGAAAGCTCACCTGTATTAGTGCTGTGATTTCTGCATCGGTCCCAGTTCTGTGATTTGCCCTCAAAAGTAACTCATATCACATTCTTAGATGCTGATCATCTCAATGCCGGAATGGAGAATTCCTTCTCCATCTCTAAGGTTTAGCTGCAGGCGAGGTGGTACATAATGGCCAAACCATGGAATCTTGCTCCTTCCTCTTTAAGATTGCCTTCAACATTTCATCAAGGTTTGCAAAATTAGGACCTTTTTAAAGAAAGTGAATTTGAAGAACACCCATCACTCAACAAGAAAGCCTATGCTTTGAATGTCAAAGCTTCCAGATTCAATTGGCTGGTTAATATTAGGGCTACTGTGGATATGCCTGATCACAACGGACAAATCATTTGAATTAGGAGGAGCTCATTGTACAGGCAAAAGGTTCAAGTTTGATCCTTGCCCAACATCTCTGGTGAAAGGGCATCTCTGCATGGCTTCTTCCAATACGTCTGCTGTTTTGTTAGTTACAGGAAAATAAGGAAGCAGAACATGGGAGAAGAAAGATAACAGGATGACTTCCTTCAGAAAAATATGATTGTCAAGCCAAGCAGAAATGTGCAAAAGCAGCTCACCCAGTGACTGCTCTCTGCCTTAAAACTTTGCACGGATGCATTTTAGGAACACAGATGGAAGACGTTTGAATATCATTATGGAAAACTCTTCTTCCACGTTCTTTTGGTCAATGCAAGGATGTGTCCTCAAAATGGCTTAACTTGGAACCCTAACATTGCATCTATAATATCAGATTTCATTTGACCAGCCTGTCTGTCACAAATCTCAATACTGCTGGGGTGATTGGAATGGGGAACATACTCCAAAATTCTAAAATTCTTGGACACTGATCTGTAGGATTCTAGTGTTTTGGGATAAAAAAAAACCCTTGCAAGGTCTTATTGGAAACGCCCTTATGAGCATAGGGAGTCTTCTCCACCACGTAAGTTTCTTCACTGCTTTTCCATCAGGTCCAAGGAAGAGTTGTCAAGGCCTGCTCCTGGGACTTGTATGGGTTTGTGGAGATGTTGTGGATCCTGACACATTTGGAAGCTGTAATATTTTGAAAAACTGATGCAATGGTTTGTTCAGAGCTTGGGAAAGATTCAGGAGATGCTTTGAAAATGATTATATATACTTTTCAATTATCTGGAAGGGGCTCATCAATTTACAACCCCCCCCCCCCAAAAAAAAACCCCAAATGAGAAAGTCTCTATCCGAACAACCCGAAAGATGAATTTGGCTCTAAAGTGAAATTTGTTGAGATTGCTAGAACCTTATCTTTCACCTTTTCAGCAAATCATGCTTTAAAAGGCTCAGTGGAAATCTTGCTTTCAGCTGAATTGGGGTGGAGCTGATGTTTCTTGACTCCATCCTTGAACCCTATTCTATCTTTTCAAAGATCATCCATCTTAGAGCTTTGAGTCACATTATTGAAAAGAAAGCAGTGCTGATAATCTAAGAAGGAGCAGAACAACAGGAAGTGCAGTTATGAAACTGCTCAGTGATGCCCTATGGACAGTTGACCAGCATAAACCTGGGGTCTAAGCTGGGGAATAGCTTAGAAAGCAAGGCCAATCCATGTATCTTAGTTAAGGAAAAGAGAAATTAAGATGCCCTATTAACTAGGTATGATCATGGCCAGAAGGATGATTACCCTGGAGATTTTATACAGATGCATATATACGGAGATTTGCGTATATGTTGCCTTTGATTTTGTATATATGGGATAAACCTTCCACAATCTGGAACCTCCACTTATCATGATACTACATCTCCCAGAATTTTGGTTGGCAGATCTTTGCAAGCTGGGAGCCCTGGAAGCTATTGACTCCATACAAATTGGGGGGTGCAAGTTCAGAAAAGGTAGCTCCAGTAAAACCCCAATGCTACTTATGTTATTTGTCTCAGTAGCTGAGGTGGAACCATTTACTTTGGCAATTCAAGTTGTAACATCTCAGCAATGGAAGCCGAGATCTGTGGCAAGATTCTAGGAAATGAGATAGTCAGCACCTTTTGAATTTGATACACCTCTTCTCCAAAAATTCCAGCCACCACAAATTAGAAGAAATGTTTGTGAAGCAGCTTTGAACTGAAGAACCCAGATAGAGATAAGAAGGAGGGAAGGGAAGACTTGTTAAATATCTAAGTGTCAACAGCACTTTTCCCCTTAAAAACTTAAAGGGGAAGCAGAGAGGAGGAAGTATTCTCAGAACAATGCCAACCCCCCAAATTGATATCAGAGACCTTACTCTCTGATGCAGCTTATCAGGAACCATGGTGCCAGTTGGCTAGCACCAATTCTATCTCTTCTACTGTTTCACTATTATTCACTGTGTGCCAATGGCTGAGAATTTCTCCTTTTTGCCTCCAAATGATATCCCATCCTGTATCTTTGCTTACTGTTGGTTTTAAATGCATATTGCCTCTTCCATCAGGGAAGCCTGTGACCCTCCCATTCCTCCATCAGTCTAATCTGGGGCTTTCATTAGGCTGTTCTTCTACCTCTTACTCTTAACTATTTGCAGGTACATTGTCTGATGCTGAGCACCTGGCAGAGCTCTCTGTTCCACTGACCGAATCCATCATATCTTTTCCCAATCTAGTTGCCCTTCAAATGTTTTAGATGACAGTTTCCCTCATCTGTAGCCAAAAATGGTCCAATGGGTAAATCCTAGGTTGGGGAAGACTGGTCTAGCAGCCACAAAATATACATTTAGCGTCAATAATTCTTATCATCAACCGGGATTGCTCACTGAATCATAAAGTTTACTTGGACATGAACCATAGCCCTAGAGTCTTATAGTCCATCATGGCATTTGGGAGGGGGGGGGGGAAACCCATACAAAATCAACCCAGTTTTTCTTTTTCAGAGCTTTAAAGCTCAACAATTACATCCTTGTCGAAGCTCCTGCAATCAACAGGATGGAAAGGCCAATAAATTCTTGGGAAGATGTCATGGAATTGTTTTGGAGGCGAAACCAGTTTCCAACATCTGGATGCTTTGGTTCAGGGCCAAGTTCTGTGGTGCACACAAAAAAATGAGTTGACCTATTTTTAAAACTTGTGAAAAACTTGGTTTGCTTGATTGTTTTCTGATCTTCACATTCCCACTGTAGACGATTTTTGTCACCAGTATCCTTAAGGAAATTAGGATGTGAAGGACTTTGGAAGATATCAAAGCTAACTGGATTTCAAAAGATTCAGAAATTTCAAGAGGAAGCCAAGAATGGTGAGTCTCCTTTCTTGATCAATTAATTTTCTTTTTCAAACATTTCAGAAAATAGAAACAGGCCTGAACTGGGGGAGAGGCATTCACTCTTTTTCATTTCTAATCAAAAGGTCTCCAGGTTTATTCAACCATTACAATTTAAAATGCCCCAAAAAGAAAGAAAAGGGACTGGACTGATTGACCTAACATTAAATTTTGGGTCTGTTCCTTTATGAAATAATGAATAAAAGAGTTAATGGAGGCAGGAAAAAAAATCAGACTGGCAACTTAGTGTCATTGTTGGCTATTTTACATGATTTCACCAGCACTGCACTTATATTCCTCCAGTCGCTTTTGAAAATAAAGGGGAAAAACATCCTTGGGGGATGCAAAGAGCACATCTTGTTAAGTAAAAATAGCAACACTTTGAACTCAGACCTTTGTAGAATTGAGAAGGTAACTGGAGAGGCGGAGTCAAGGTGTCCAGGTGAGAATGATGGGAAAAGGCAGTCCTGATTGGCTGTACAGTTGAGGGAGGGGCTTGGCAGGGGCCTCTTACATAACCGAGCAGCATTTACAACGCTGTTTCTTCATGTCAAGATCCTGGTCTGCTCCTTTGGGGTCCGTGTCATTGGCTGATGGCTGTGCTCCAACTTGGTTTTCCTCCTTCTGAGGCAAGGGTTCCATCGCGCTGCCATTAGGTGGGGCGTGTTCTGGTGTGTGGCCTCCTGCTGGTTTATTCTCAGCATCTTCTATCACCACCAGCTCGGCCTTGATTTGCTCTCCTTCAAGCCCCAGCACCTTTTTGGTCTCATTTTCGTCTTCCACATTCTGGTACCCCATGAAGATCATGGTGACGGGTTGTTCTTTGCTAGGCTCTGGGCCATCGCCCCCAAGCTTTGGGCTCTCCACTGGTTTAGCCTGCACCCCTGTGATTTCCTTCCGAGGGGTGACCTTCTGGCTTGGGAGATTGCTTTGGGCCTCTTTGGCAACCTTCTCAGAGACTTCACTCAGGGTCACTTCATCGGCCTTATGGATGAGCTCATCCACTTCGGATGAGCTGAGCTGGTGGACGCCATTCTCAATAGCCCCATCTTCGGTACGGACTGCATGGACCACTGCAAGAGAAGATAGAGAAGATACACAATGAGGACAACGAGAAGCACGACCAGACTTTCACTGTTGCTTTCAAAAATGACTTAACGGGCAGATATCATTGTTTCTTGTGGTGGAAAGCAGACCACTGTCGCAGGAGGGAGGGAGAGAGCAGAGACAACATAGCTTGGGGAGTCTTTGATAGGCAAGAAGAGGGTGAAGGTGAATCTCCACCAAGCAATTCACAGAATACAGGTTGTATGCAGGCCATTGATTAATCCGGCAAGATTAATATCAAGCCCAGAGAACCAAGAATGACACAAGGAGTTAGTTCAGAGTACTTTCCTTATCGTTGTTCACCTGTAGACAGAAATCAATTATCTAGACTAAATCAATTAACTACATAACTATTACCCTGTGAACTGCTAGGGGCAGGCTGCCTTCGCCCTCTTCCTGCGTACCAAAAATTCTAAGCTATGTTGTCTCTTTGCTCTCTGGGAATGAGCCCTTCGTCCCCCGCAACTCTGGACTTACATTCTACTACATTTCTACTCCCAAAGGTGCTTTTAAAAAGGCAACTAGACTTTTTTTTTACTTGAAGGAAGGAAAATAAGCCAGTTGCCTTTTGAAAAATACCTTTGAGTCAACCATGACTTGAATGACTGAGAATTTCCATAGATACACTCCTTAAGAGGTGCTGAAGTGGCATTAGAGATTCACAAATGTCAAGAATTTGTCCTTTAAAAAAGCAGAATGGATATTTATTTCGGAGGGTTTGATAAATCTTGTGGACTTCTAACAGATCAACAGTGAAGCACTCCAAATACCAACCATACCTACCTGTTCTTTACTCAAGTGTTTTGTTCTCTTTCTGTGTATACTAATATCAGGCCAGTTCCCAAACAATTCGGTGAAAGAACCTTCACTTTTCTTTTGGAGATGAGAATGCGAGAATGGGGTGATATGGGAGGCCCAAAAGGATATATGAAAGTTCTGTCTTCCATTATATTGGTATCTACCTTTCTGGCAGTCTGCAGGCTCTTGTTATTCAATCCAAAGTGAGGAACATCTTAGAGTTGGAGATTCCCCCCCTCCCTCCCAGCCCCATGGATAAATTCAGAAGGAAAAAAAAAGCAAGCATCCACACATTTGGTGGAAAATTTAGAAAAGCCACTTATACCCAGCTATTATAAATATACTTTTTTTTTGGTGCACAAAAATGGATATTGAATTTGGACAGAAAAAGCAAAAGCAAAAAGTGTAGGAAGTGAGTGGGTCAAAACAATTCTAGGGGTTTTTCAACCATGACTGCCCTTCTTACTCATTCCTTGACCTGCACTTTCATAATAAACAAACAACAATCCCTTGCATTATTCTATTCTCCCACACTGGAATGAGAGATAAGAAAAGTAAGGAACATTTTGAGGAGGGTTGATAGTGTTTTTGGCAGAAAAATGAAAATGTGACTTAAGTTTTTTAAACTGATAAAAAGAAAAAAGGGGGGGAAGTGCCCTTTATTGTAACTTACTCCTACGTATGATCACCCAATGCTCTAGAATTGATTCTTTTCTTCCCAGATCGTTTGAATGTCCACCCTAGCCTATTGCCCCAGAATTACCTAAGGGATTTCCCATCTGAATAGTATCTGTATTGTAACCTGTTGTGACCTTGCTTAGTGCTTGAAAATCAACCGATGTTGACAAGGTGCTGCCACCTGCAGAGACTTAAAAACTTTGGGCTAAAATCATCATCATCTTCATCAACAGCACAATCTTCTCAATATTGTTCATTGGGATTTATATAGAAAATTCAACTTTACTGTTTGCAAAAAAAAAAGGGGGGGGTTGTGCCCGAAAATTTTTTGCAAAATGAGACCCAAATTTTGTGAGGTTTCAATATGCAAACTGTTAGGAACCTGATCTCACGGGCATCGCTATCACAGAAAGGAACGCTGCTGAATTTTTGAAAAACTATGGGAGAAAATATCTGAATACAACAATTTATATACTAAGGCTGAAAAATAACAGCGCATTGAGAAACATTGAGTGTGACTTATGACTGTTTTTTCACACTTACAATCTTTGAATCATCCCCATGGTCACGTGATCATAATTCAGATGCTTGGCAGCTGACTCATATTTATGACAGTTGGAGTGTCCCAGTGTCATCCCTTTTGCAACCCTACTGACAAGCAAAGCCAAGGGGGAAGCCAGATTCACTTAACAACCAGGTTACTAATTTATCAACTGCAAGTGATTCACTTAACAATGGAGGCAAGAAAGGTTCTAAAATGGGGCAGGACAAATGTCTGACTTAGCAACAGACATTTCGGGCTCCATTGTAGCTGTAAGTCAAGGACTAACTGTACAGTACCTCATAGCGCTATACAGCACTCTCTGGATGGTTTTCAATGTAGATTTGTAGTTTATAAAATATTTGCATATTGCCCCCAATAATCTGGGTCCTCACTGTATCGACCTCAGAAGGATGGAAAGCTGAGTCATTTTACGACCTTTCCTGCCACTGTTGTTAAGTGAATCTCTTCAGTTGATCAGTTAGTAACCCGGTTGTTAAGTAAATCTGGCTTCCCCCTTGACTTTACTTGTCAGAAGCCGTCATAAATGTGAGCCAGTTGCCAAGTGTCTGAATTTTGATCCCCTGATCGTGGGGATGCTTCAAAGATCATTAAGTGTGGAAAAAGTGGTCTTAAATCACTTTTTTCACTGTCGTCGTAACTTTGAACCTTCACTAAATGAACTACTATAACTAGAGGACTACCAGGACTGCCCTTGAATTGCTATGCCATCAGAACCCCAACACAGTTCCAAACACAACCTCCCACAGCTGCGCTGTGGGAAGGAAGCCAGCAGTGGTGGGACTCAATTTATTTTTTACTACCGGTTCTGTGGGTGTGGCTTGGTTTGGTGGGTGTGGTTTGGTTTGGAGGCAGAGGAAGGATACTGTAAAATCCCCGTTCCCTCCTCACCCCACTAACCTGCTTTCCAGCTCCGTTCTCCTGTGCAGGGCAACTGAAGAAGACCCAGCCAATCAGCTGGGACTCAATGGGAGGCAGAGAATAGATGGGGGTGGGGCCAGTCAGAGGTGGTATTGGCTGATTCTCCAAACTACTCAAAATTTCCGCTACCGGTTCTCCAGAACTGGCCAGAACCTGCTGAATACCACCTCTGGAAGCCAGATCTTCTTGAGTCAATACGATGTGCTGCTCAGCACTCCCAGGGAGTCTGAGTACCAGGGAGCATGAGAGATGTTTGCAGGAGTGCCAGACCCATCCTTGGTCTGTGGACACTCCCTTCCAGTGCATACCTTTCAGCTCGTCCTCGTACACTTTGACTCCCTGAACTGAGTTCTCTTTGGGTAGTCTAGTGGTGCTGGACAGGACTTTGGTCTCCCCTGTGAGTTTGTCCTTCTCCACAGTGATCTCTACAGAGTACATAGCTGGGACATAAACAGGACACAGTGAGCGACAAGAAAAGAACGTTTCTGCCCCTCCGCCCGCCGACCTCTCCCTCCCTGAGCTCGGAAACGAAGCATTCGGTACGAGCAGGGAAGGTGGGAGGCACAGGGCAGCTGGGGGGGTCCTGTGGGTAGGCCTGGAGCATTAGAGGCAAAGAGAAGAAGCGATGCACAAGGCAAGCGAAGGCCTTTGAGCTCCAAGGAGCAGCAAACCAAAGAGCCTCTGAAATGTTGCTTTCCAAATTCTTCGCAGAGCCTATCTGCGGCTCTCCTTGATGGTATCTCAGTCAGCATTTCTAAAATGTTGATCTGGGAGTGATGTAAACCAGTGTTTTTCAACCTTGGCAACTTTAAAATGTGTGGACTTCCACTCCCAGAATTCTCTAGCCATGTTCTCAGTAGCTTACAATTGATCCTTTAGCTAAAGATGAGATGTGGGTTTAGCTGAAAGGTTATTTCTCAGAGTTTTTGCTTTTGGAAAAGGCGGACAAGATAGGAAGCGAAAAAAGAAGCAGTTAAGCTTAAATGAAGCCAAGGGAAGATGAATTTAAGAATCAGTCAACACAGAATGGCCCTGCATAAGTGCTAAGGTGTATATGCAGGAGAACAGAGCAAAGAAGAAGAAAAGCAATAGCAATAATACTTAGACTTATATACCACTTTACAGTGCTTTACAGCCCTCTCTAAGCGGTTTACAGAGTCAGCATATTGCCCACAAAAATCTGGGCGCTCATTTTACCTACCTTGGAAGGATGGGAGGCTGAGTCAACCTTGAGCCTGGTGAGGTTTGAACTGCCAAATTGCAGGCAGCTGGCAGTCAGCAGAAGTAGCCTGCAGTACTGCACACTAACCACTGCGCCACCGTAGCTCAAAGAAAGATGATTTGTTTGTGATGGAGTAGTAAGTATGAGTAATGAGCAATCTTTTTTTTTTTAAAAAAAAAGAGACTTCCTTTCAGCTAAAGTCAAATTTGGTGACTTCCTGGACATTTCCTCTGCAATCACCTTATAAGGGAGATGGACAGCATAAACATTTAATTAATTAATAAAATTAACATAAAGAAATTTTATCATTTCTTTCTTCCAGGATGTTTTTCTTTTTTCCGGATTTCTTGGTTTAAACAACAGCCCTGGATTTTCCTAAGGATCTTCTATTCAAGAACCTGGTTTAGCTTTTTGAGATTGGCCAAATTTTGGCATTTTAAGGCTAAGATTAGGCACAGCAAATTTCCTAAGCAGGGAACAACAATAAGTAAAAGCAAAACCAAAAGGAAAGGATGCTGAACTGGACATCAAAGCAGACAGGAATTCGGATTAAAAGCCAGGTTAACTTCTTTGTCAGTGGGAGAGAAAGACATGATTGAAAGTTGGAATGGAAAGTTAGGAGGCATGGCAAAGCAGATGTGCAGAGTAGGAGGCTGAACCAGCCAGGATAGATAAGACTGCCTTGTCACTCATCCTTCAGCAAACCTGCAGCCACCATTTGAATATAATACCAGCCCAAAGTTCATTTGCTTATTCTGACAAAGATAATATACTTTGTCATTGTTCGCAGGCAGAAAAAGAAATAAATGACCGGGTTTGCAGGCTGTCCATGATCTCAGGTCAGGAAGGAACATGAAATAGCTGTAAACCTATTTTTTTGGCAACAGGTCTGCATACTTTCAGCAAAGGAGTTCTGAAGCAGGACAGTGAAATGTCAAAAACACAGCATGATGTTGTGTGTGCTCAGCTGAGATGCAACTCCCACTTTGGCTTGTTAATTACTTAAAAACAAAAATGCAAAGCATCAAGTGCCGAATGAGATTTAGATTAAACAATGAATTGAATTTTAGGAAGCATTTCCCTCCAAAGTGCTAAATTATTCTCAGTCTGGTGCCCTTAGATGTGTTGGATTGCAGAGACTATATTTTCCAGCCAAAGTACCACAGTGGCTAGCTAAGATGGGAGATGTAGTTCTACATGTGTGCAGCCTGCCTGATTAAGGAAAGGTGTCACCAAATTTGGGCTCATGCCAGTTGACAATTGTCCTTGAAAGCACATAAAATTTGGACATAGGTGGGCCAGAACGTTTTTAAAAACAAGCTGCTTTCTCGGCATATTTTTAGTTTTAATTCAGGATGGCTCAGAGTTTTCCAGTTTCATCAGTCCTGCTTGTTGAAAAGCATGTTTAAATACACTATAATTTCCAAACATAAATGTAAATGCAATATGTACTTTATCTCAAACCACACATTTCTAAATGTGGTTTCTCCTAAAACTGTGATATAGTATGAACTTTTGCAGAGTAAGGGATTAACTACACTAATTGGTCATAAAATAATTTTCTGGGGGAAAGAGCTAGGACTGTGTAGCCTAGTGATTAGGTGGACTGGCAGCAGGAAGACCCAGATTCTATCTCTCCTCAGTTCAGAAGCTTATGAGGGACTTTGAACCAGTCATCACAGCCCACCTCTACAGGGACGTTGTGCAGGGGTTCCCCAAACTTGGCAACTTTGAGACTTGTGGACTTCAACTCCCAGAATTCTCCAGCCGGCTCTGGGAGTTGAAGTCCACAAGTCTCGAAGTTATCAAGTTTGGAGACCTCTGTGTTAGGGAAAAATGGGATGAGAAAACACTCTACACTTTGACTTAAATTCCTTAGGAAAAACAAGATTAGATGTAACAGAGTAATAAATAAATGCATGTTAGATTTGTCTGGAATTGTGGGAGAGGTGGACTTCTGAGGCTGCAGCTATCTCCCTGCCTGTTCTTATTGATTAAAATGTCCTATTAGAGCTGGACACCCAACAGAGCAGAAAGGAGACAAATTTATCACCACAATCGAAGCTGCCTTTGAGCCCCAAGCACAAAACAGATCAAACTGTAAAGCTCACTCAAGAGGTTTTCCAGTTTAGGATAGCTGTGATGCAGCTAATGGGTAACACACCATTAGTTAAAGCAACATTTATCAAGGGCAGATCCAAGGCAACTCTGTGATGACTGGGTTGTTTTTTCCCTCACCCTCCTGGCCATTCTTCCTTTGACCTTGTAGAAATGGAGGACGTGTCATTTCAGGCTGTATCAAGGCAAAAATCCAGGCCAACGAAGTGCAAAAAAGGAACACCAAATCTGGCCTTTTAAAATGCATTTGGAATAGCTTTTCAGGAGGTGAAGTTGTAAACAGATGATAAAGCATGACCTTAGTCCTACGCTTTAGGCATAGGACTTATGCATCTTATTAAATTCATAATGTCTATCTCATTAACAAACACCTGTGGAGTAGGGTACAGTAGGATAGGATAGTACACAGCCCAGAATCACTACTGTGAGATGGACAGCTGTATAAATAAAATGAAAATGCAATCTTGACTTTGAGATTTGCTGATTAGATTACTTTGGTGCTATAGAAATAGCTAGTATTTACTGAGTGCTGCATGTTAAAGTAAAACATTTTTCACTCTGCTGAAAAAGATTGGAAATCAATGCTTTTTTCTCTTTTGGCCTTTATCCTACACTTCTCCTTTCCCTTTTTCTCTTTGCCATTTCCCTATTATCTTTATTTTCATGTATATTTTAGATTATGAGAATCCTAATTTAAAAAGAGGTGGGGTAGCTGTTTCAGCCCCATCTCAGCCTCAGATGGAAGAAGGCTTAAATAAACTGGGATCATCTCTCTCTACAAATCTGGCTCAATTGGACCGAGGGGACAGAAATTGATTGTCGGAAGATTTGGGAACCAACAACTTTAAAGAACTTTATGGAAACTCATAAGGTTGTCTTTAGCTGTTCTGGCATTAAAATCCCTTTAAACAAGCATCAAACTTTGATCCTTTTGCCATGATGCACTTCAACAACCATTTGGTCAGTCTTGCAGTCAGGTGTCTCCTAGCAATGGTTATCAGCCAATCACCTATTGGTAATTTTAGGCTGATGCAGGTACCTTTCCCTCCCTTGGGGATCACAGCATGGTTCTCCAAGACTGGTTCTGTTTTCAGAAACTGAGTCTTTTAACTGAGCCTCTCCCTCAGTACCCACCAGATCTTGGAATTGATTCCTGACTCAGAGGCCTGGATCAACCTGAACTGACTAGAGGTGGTTGGGGGTCCATGTATGAAGTAGAAAGAAAACCCACACTCTCTTTGCTGCCTTAAAATTCAGCTCTCCCTATGCCTGACAATTTGGGCTGTTCTAGGCTGCTTTTGAACACAGGTTTAGTGCAGTTCTAGAACAGCACTTCTGAAAATCTGTGTGCAGAAGGAGCCCAATGGTCAGCTTTAGTTTGGTGCAAGTGTTTTACACAATTCCTTTTAGCAGGGACCTGTTGTTCTAAACTTCTGTCAAAACTTTTAACCTCCCACCCCAATATATATTAAGGAGAGTTATGAGTATTTGCCTCCCCACTAGCTGGTGATCTTTGGGAGGCTGGCAGAGAGAAAAAAAGGGAAATCCACCAATCCCTGTTCTTAATGCGAGTTGTAGACTGTAAATAAAGAGAGACCATTTGCCAGAATCAAGAGTGCAAGGATAGGAATTGTTACCATGGCAGCAACTTTTACGCCATTACAGTTTTCTGGTAGCTCAATATGATGGTATATGGGAAAGATCTTGGGAGACTGGGCAAGGGAACACTGCCAAGGGAACAGTTAGACAAGAGAAAGTGTAGCTCACAACTGGACAGTGGGTAGGGGAAGAGGCTCAAAAGAAATCCTTGTTGTGCTGAAGATTTGGTAAGGGAGAAGACTGTATTTTTAGACTTGCAAGATTCTGTCCATGTTAACTTTACAATAAAACAGAATTAGCTCATTTGGTTGTGATTCCTATCTGGTTTGTCCTGCAAGATCAAGACTCAAGGACTCTTTGCACTTTGTGAGGTCAATACTCAAGGATTCTTTGGACTTCATGGCCACATCCCCATGAAGGTGCTGCTAGCAAGCTATTATATTTAATGACTGCAGATAGATTCACTTACCATTCCAAAAACATCTTTAATGAAAAAAGGCAAATCAGGCCCTGATAAGGAAAATCTGACTGACAATAAAACTTATAGCACACAACAGTGGAAGTCCATCTATGGATCTCTCCATCTCTGGAATCATTGGGATTTCCAATTTTGAAAGGGGCTGGAGAGTCACCAGACATGGATGATTTAACTGATATTCCTGCATATTGTGAAAGGTTGGACTAGATGTTCTTTCAAGAGGAATGAGGAACAGGTTCCATGTGCCTGGTGAACTTCTGTGATTTTGTGATAGAACTTGTCCCCATGTGCAGCATGCGGACATGGGAAAGAGGCGAGACATCCTTGGAGGGCCAAAAAGAAGTATTGGTACATCCATTTGGACAATGCTGCTTGAATGTCTGAATGTTCATCTACATGAAAAATCCATCTCTTCTGGGATAAATTTTTCATACCAAAGTAGGATATTATATTGATTATTTACATTTAAGGAACTCCTTCTTTAAACGATTAGGTTTACAAATATTATTAAATATATTATATTTATAATTTGTAAGATATATATTATGGGATGTATTGGTTCTGCCCTGGTCAGTTCCATTTTGACTGTTGCATTCAGATATGGTACCAGATTACAGAAAGGACAGCTATCTCTGTCTGTCTGTCTGTCTATCTATTATCTATCTATCTATCTATCTATCTATCTATCTATCTATCTATCTATCTATCTATCTATC